AATTATTAGCAAAAACCAACAATACCAACAACCACATGATCAAGTGAATTGCAGCGGAATAGCTGCGCTTGATTGTGTTGGCATAACAAAAATTAAAATAGTGGAAAAAAGCAAACGATTATTTACAAGGCGTACTTAGCACGGTGCATAGGCAACTGGCTGAGTCAGTAGGATCGTCGGTTCGAATCCTACTGAAATAAGTCTGATGAGGAAATGTGGTGATTTCCGAAATAGCTATCACTTCTACCATTTTTTCAAATTATTGTTGCTTTTCCACAATAAAAATTTTCATTTAAAACGGCCTCGAGCTCAATATAAATTGTTGAATATAATAAAATTTTAATTTCATTAGAACCACCCTACGTTTACTTGCTATTGTAAATGGTTGCATACATTTAGGCATATGAATAGTAACAGGAAATGCGGTACGATTGTTTATTACTTCCGATTATGCAAACTCCGCACATGCATATGTTTGTATGTACGTACATATATATGTATGAACTCATTTGGTGCAACTTGTTTTGATATTCGTAGATGGTTTTAGGCATAGGTTTAGTAGTCTATTTTGATAAAAAAGCAAGGCGAAAATTTGAAAAAATACTGAAATCATTTGAACTGGGACCGTTGATAACTGATGAACATTCATGCATATATGTATGTATAATATACATATGTATGCATGATATACTAGCTCTGATCCAATACTTTTCCGTGTTAAATCCTGGAAAAAATCAAACAGCAAAATCACTCTCTGAAGTGAGAGTAAAAAGTGAGTAACAGCAACACGTACGGAACAGGAAAAGCATCGGCTAAAATCCTGCAACTTCAATTTCTACACAACTCTCCAAAAATCTCTCTCATTTACATGAACCACTGATTGCATTCCGAAAAGAAAAACTAAATTTAGGAATATAAACAAAAAGAACTGCTCAAACTATAAGCTCAAGAACAGTAATTGATGCGGTGTTTTCAAGATATTTTAACGCCCTTGAGTCACAAGTATATACAAGCATCATATTTTATCAATCATACCGATAATTTCATGTACAAAAAGAATTAAAAATGAAAATGAATAAAAACAAATTAAATCAGCAAAATGAATAAAATTAAGTGAAATTAATGTTTAATTTCTAACCTAACCTACATGTGTATGCATGTAACTGAATCGCCTAAGAATAGCTTTACATATACAAATATTATCCACATTTTCGAGCTTAACTACCTAATATGTAATTAGATTACATTAGCCATACAAAATTATAATTATAAAATTATCCCAGATTAAACTGATAACTTTTTGGTACCAACCTAGTTTTATCGGTTATACTTGCGAAGAAGAGGAGGAATGTCAAATGTAAAAGTAAACCAAAATTTACGCTAGTAAGGAGGGTTGTAAAGGTATTTTTAATAAAATATTCAGTTAAAATATATTTAAATAACATAATGTAGCAGAGAAGAAGTTTACTTTTCCTCGAGTTGTGTGAATAACGAACAAATCAATTTGACAGCTAAGGTGCTTTGATTGCGATTATATTTATATGTCAACTTACTTTTATGCTTTGCCGTTCGCATATGTTTACACATAAAATTTCATGAGTACTTAGTACTCACGCCTTTTTTATTTACACTTTGAAAATTATGGTATGAACGTTCTTAAGAAAAATGACTAAAAAATTATGAAAAACTCGAAAAAATTAAAACAGAATTTTTTCAATCTAATCTAACACCGAACGTATCACTTTTACTTTTGTTTAAACGCGATACCAGTGACAGCAGAAAAAAAATTTAACTATTGTTTTTTGGATATTGTGAAATGAATTAAATTGACCCTGGCATTCAGTAAGCGGTTTCTAGTCACTAGTAGTGACTTTTGGTGGTGAACTTGGATTTATTAGAGATTATTTGGTATTCAGTACGCTGTCTCACGTCTCTAGTCTCAAAAATAAGTCACTAATTTGCCAGCTGGCTAAGAGCAGGTCAAAAAAATAAAAATATGGAGAAAAAGATAATTGCTTTTCAATTTATTGAAAAAAAATCGCGAAAATGAAGCGAGGAAAATTTTTCAACAACAATTTCATTAGGAAATAAACCAAAATGCTTTAGTATCATACAAATCCATTGGAAAAAAGGAATTTATTTTTTGTTTTTAAAACATAAAAATATAAAGATTATTAAAAAAAAATAAAACTAATAAAAAAAAGAAAAAAATTATAAACAAAACAAAAATCGACTACGCCCGAAGAGGACTCGAACCCGGACCCCTTCGACCGCTAGCCTAATGCTTTGGCCATTCGGAAATTGCGACTCTTTGTGCGGCGCGGACAATAGGCATACATAAACGCTATCAATTGACTGTCTGGGTTTGTTTTCACCACACATTTTTGGTGAACTTTTTGTGACTCTCCTACTAAATACCCAAATCTTCTCAAGTCAAAAAAATAGTCACTAATAGCTAATCTCAAATTTAGTGACTTGAGATGAGACTGAAATACTGAATCCCAGGATTAGTGACGTGAGATGAGACTGAATTACTGAATCCCAGGGTAAGAATGAATAACTGTTTGGAAAATTTGCGACGCTGTATTTATAAGCAACAGTGCGAAAGAATGGTATGAGTAATATTTTGGAATGCCAGTACTTTCATACCATGGTGGAATAATACCAGGTGAAGTAATAAGAGCGAGAAAGAAGATTTCACACTACCTTAATGGAAGTGTTCGCCCCTTAAATTTTTTTTAAAGGGTAAAGGCCAGAAATATTAAAAAGAATTATCTTTTTGACTGCAAAAGGGGTAATAATTAGAAGTTTTTTTATCTAATACATATACATACATAATATTAAAAATTACTTTTGAAATATCCCTATTTGAAAAATAAAAATGGCCATTTAAATTAACTAAGCATAATTTATTATTTTTTATTCAAATTAGATATGTAGAACTAAACAATTTTATGGAGTACGCTTGTGTTTAGTATTGAAAGACAAACACTAACAATAACAAAGAGCTTTAAGGATTTACAGCCAATGTAATAAATGATAATTAGAAACTTAAATAAAGATTTTGACGATAATAAGAGTAATGTGATGTACTAAATCCACGGAATAGTTCACACAAAGAGAAGCAATCAAGAACGTAGATACTGAAGACCACCCATATTGAGAAGTGGCAATATCATTCTAGATGAAAGGTCCAACTACGGTTTCAAAACATCATGCTAATGCCGCACAAACTGACATTTTTAAGCAGAAAAATGTGTTAAAATGGGGAAATTAGTAAAAAAGATTTTTCACAAATAATACTTCAAGGACTCACCGACAAATGCATACAAAAATCTTAATAAAAGTAGCAAATGCAGTAACCAATTAAAAGTGACAGTTAATGCCGTACAACTCGATGTGTTGAGGCAAAAACACTTTTCAAAATGGTGGAATTAGTAAAAAAGATTTTGCGCAAATAATACTTCCAAGGACTCACCGACGGGTGCATAGACAAATCTTGATAATTTTATGAAGAGATGAAATTAGATACATGAAATCAGCAACGTGAATACAAAAACGCAAGACGTGATATTAATGGTTATAAGGTTTAAATCAATAAATTTAACTATGTATATATGGCAAGTATATAAAGATTAATCGATTATACCTATTGCCTTTCAAGCGCTTATTTAAATAATTTATCCTGCACTCAAAAATAGCTTTTTCACATTTATTAGAAGGTCTATTTCATGGCTGTGGGATAATAATTTTTCGGAGTAGTTGGTGGTGCAAGAAATTACTTCGCCATTAAATATTTGAAATATCCACCTTATTCAGCCTAACCTGCTCCACTGGTGAATGGAACAAACGGACGCCTTCGTAAGTCCACGTTTTTCTGCAAATTACACAGCTTGGCTTAGGAATTATTAATTTGTTAATCACAAATAGATTATATAGTATTTTTCCACAAAAATAGTAGAGTAGGGTAAGGCGTATCGCACAGGGGGCAAAGTCTATGGAGACTCAAAATAGGGGAATCTGAACTTTGACACCTGCGCAACACGCCTTAACCGACTCCAATCGGGACCAAAATTTATACGTGATATCTGTGCCTACAGTAGTATCGATTTTGGGTATTAGATGAAAAAAAATTTATTTAAATTTTTTGAGTCTCCATAGAGTAATCTGAACTTTGACCCCTGTGCGACACGCCTTAACCGTCTCCAATCGGGACTAAAATTTATATGTGCTATCTTTGGCCGTTGTATTAGCGACTGAGGGGGTGAGACTTAAAATTTCATTTTTAAGGGCCACCCTAATGTACATACATACGCGGTAAATGCATATTGTAAGACAGTAAAAATAAAAGACAGTAAAACTAAATTCTCTCCCAATTAAGCGAGCCCCTGCATGATTTAAAACCCATTTGTGCATAATTTACTCACATCCCTTTTTATAACATATACCTAATTTTTAATTTGCACAACAAAATATTAAAGTGAAACAGGTGCCTCGTGTATGCAAAC